CAATAGGTCGTAGCTGATTTAAGGATTGTGGGCTGGTTGACTTGGGCACTGGTGATACATAAGAGGTCTTCCAGTCAGCTGGGCATCTGGCTTGACTGAGAGAAGCATTGATGATGGAGCATAGGGGTTTAGCAAGCTCCGGGGAGAACTCCTTGAAGAGTTTCATTGGTAAGTCAATGGGGGTGGTAGAGCGTTTTAATTTTAGTTTGTCCAGGCGTTTTGCTACGTCAAATTCTTCTACTAAGTCAGTGGGAAGGGGGGCTGGTAGGTAAGCAGGGAGAGTGGTTGTGTCAAGCCGTGGGAGCGTCTGGCATATAGTAGCGAAATGGTTATTTGTTTGCTCAGCTGCATCAACATTAGTGAGATGGCTAAGGAAGGGGAGGGGGTGTGTCTTATTGTTTAGTCCACAGAGTTCTTTAAGCTTACCATACCATTGACTGATGTTGGTCTGCTTCAGGTGTTGTAATTTGGTTGGGTAGTGGGACTTCTTTGCAGTGCGTATTTCGCGGATGACTCGGTTGCGAAGGGACCTGTAGCGGATGTGGTCATTGAGATGAAAGGCTCTGTCTCTCTGTTGCATAAGTCTTTTGATCCGAGGTGTGATCCAGGGCAAGTCAGCTGGGTGAGATCTGACGGACTTCTCGGGGAAGAAGTGGTGGTGAGCTTGCGTGGTGGTGTTGGTATAATTTATCCATTTGGTTTCCACGTCATCCACGCTAAGTACTTCAGTCCAGGGATGGTGAACTATCCACTGCCCGAAGAGGCGCACTGCAGAGTCAGTAATCGGCCTGTAGGTCTTGATGTAGGGTCTCTGTACTTGAGTGGGAGTGGCAGCTGGGGACCAGAGCACTGATAAGTGTGTGCTACACCCGATAGGAGGCATTGGTTGAGGTGGTTGGTACTGGTCCGCTAAGTCAGTTAAGATAAGGTCGAGGGTATTCTGACCGTGTGTGGGGAAGGTCACAACTTGTGATAGTGATAGTTGGTCCTGGATATCGGTGGTGTCAATTTCATTAAAATCCCCACATAATACTAACTTGGCGCATGGGTACCTAACTCTGAGGTGGTCTGAGGTGGTGATGAGATGATTGATAAGAGTGTCTCTGGTGGGTGAGCGAGGAGGATGGTATGCCACACAGATTATGATGGAAGCAGTGTTGCGCGGGTGGGCCCGTAGCACGACACGTACCCATAATGCTTCCACATCTGCTGGGACTTGAACATCCAGGCTTGACGGGCGTAGGTCATCTTGACAGAAGAGGGCAACGCCCCCTCCGCGTCTATGTGAACGAAGGTGATGAAAGAGTTGATATCCCTCAATATGACACGTTTCAGGCACAATTTGCCAAGCCTCACATATGGCAACGACGCTCGCGGCGGCTGACCCTGACTGTAGTTGCCAGCTCGTCGAACTTGTTAGCACACTTACATACGCGCACTCACTTTTTTTTCTTTACCATTAATGGTTAGCTACTTATATTGTTCCATTTATTAACATTTAATAACATTACTTCAAACAACCATGTTAATTTTTTTTACATTAATTTTACTACAGCTACAATCAGGATCTTATTTTCTTCAGTTTTATATGTAGAACCAATCAGTCACTGGGTTTGTAAGCATTAACAAAAACAATGCCGGCAGCCGTCTCGTCTCCTCGTGTGTTTTAATATTCCACGTATTATTATTAAATTGTATTGTTCATTTTGCACACACAAACATTAATTCAATAAAAAAATTCAGAAACATTAATTAAAATATATATGAACGGTAAATAAGTGTTGCTTTCATATTCTTATGAAAAGTAATGACGATATGTTTTCACATGTGCGCACTTGCGTACGCGATCTCTCTTTTTTCTTTACCATTAACGTTAGCTACTTCTATTGTTCCATTTATTAACATTAAATAACATTACTTAAAACAACCATATTAATTTTACTACAGCTACAACCATGGTCTTATTTTCTTCAGTTTTATATGTAGAACCAGTCAGTCACTGGTTTTGTAATCAACGAAAACAATGCTGTCTCATTTCCTTGTGTGTTTTAATATTCCACGTATTATTAATGAATTGTATTGCTCATTTTGCACACATAAACATTAATTCAATCAAAAAGACATTCAGTAATAAACAATAATGAATCTTTTGTACATAAGAGAAATGACGCTGTTTACAGGATTGTGCACGTCTTCTGAACGTTGACGAGCCGTTCAAACCCGTCGAAATTCGAGTTTCCACAGCCAATTTTTTTTTGTGTGTGTGTGTATTCCAATAAAAAACGTTGAATTAAAAACTCGCGAAATTTGAGAAGCTACTGTACGACATTTAGCCCTTCAATATGTCTTCAAAGAGACCATGAAGCAGAGAAAGTGGTGCTAGTGCTTCCAAGTGTAAGCACAAGTCACTATCTGTCCAGGAAAAGGGTGAATTTTCATGGTCCGGAAATTTCCATGGTCCGGCACTGGTCAAGTCCCGTGGTTGCCAGACTAGAGAGGTACTACCTGTATTATGTTAAAACAAACACTCATAAATCAACACAGCTAAAATTAAGGAATGCAAAATGGTCTGTTTACTGGCTGGGAAGATGGGAGTGGGGGGAAGGAGGAGGTGAGTGATATGTTTGACAGTTGATGCCAAGGTCTAGTGCTTAATTATTTATCTGTTTTTAGGAGTGACTTTAAGTTTTTCTCTTATAAAATGTCACTGAACTGACATGGGAGAATATAATTAACATTGCTGGAATTCTTATAAGATACAGGTAGTTCTGCTATAACGCGATAATTGTGTTCTTGTAAAATATTGTGTTCTAGAAAATCGCGTAATAGAAATAACAGGGCTTATGGAGAAAATAGGGTTAGGTGCAGATTACTCGAAATCGAAAAAATTTAGTAGTTAGCCTAACACAAAGGATAGCACAGTCTAAATAAATGTTACATTCATATCTAATAATGAAATCATACAGTAAATGTAATACTTTACCTTGAAAAAATATGAATGTAACTTGATGGGGGAGAAGGGTGATTTTGAGGTTGATAACATCGAGCTTCTCTTCAAGTGTTATATCCTTTCTTTTACGATCATCACCGGGAATTCTATCACCAGAACGCTTCTTGGAGATATTCTTCTTTACCATATTCACAGTTAATACCACAAAATTGGAGAAATAGTAAGCAAAAATCGCGTTATAGCAAACAAGCGTTCGCGTTATACAAATATCGTTCCTAATTCATAAATCGCGTTATCAAAACACGCGTTATAGCAGAACTCACTGTAGTGATTAATTTGAATATAAACATGCTATAATTTGAATTAGACATACAAATTTTAGTTCTAATTTAAGAATTTCTTTATAAGAGCAAAAAATGTATCTCTTGTGCAAAATATGTGACGTTTATATTCAAATTTTTCGTTGTCTTGTAAGGATTCTAGCAATACAAATTATATTCACCTAACTTTAGTCTGTAACATTATATAAGATAAAAACTTTAAGCCTAAAACACCAAACCCTGGCTGGTAAGATGGGTGGGGGGAGGGAGGGAGGGAAGTGTCCTTTAGCTTGAGTTTTTGTTTTTTGCTTATAAAATTTCACAGAAGTGACCGGAGAGAATATAATTTACATTGCTGGAATTCTTATAAGATAATGATTCATTTTAATATAAACATGCTATAGTTTGCACTAGTCAAATATTTTGATAATCATTTAGTACATTAGTTTGAGTACATGTACAGTATCAGCTTTGCCCTTAGGACAGTGTAGCGCCCTGAGAAACAGGCGCAAATTTTAAAATATGATGCACCAGATTGACTGGCGCAAAATAGGAAAGATTCGCTTTAAATTAAAAGATTGTCCTTAATTGTGGGTGTCGTTTTAAATCAATAATCTTAAATTGAATTGCTTTAAATCGACGTTCTACTGTGCAGTACTGTACTATTAATAATTCTTAGATAAATTTATTAGTATCTGTAAAAGGTAGTAATGTACATTTAGTTATTTGGTGAAGGCATTCAGTAGTGTTTTATGTGTTGTCACCCCCACTTGAAAGTTTAGGTTCACTGCCCATTATATATCTATAGAACATTAATGTTTTCTTTTTTTAGTGGTCTAGTATTAAAGAACACTGTACAGTATTTATAACTGGTAAGCTAAAAATAAGTAAATCTGTTATGTTACACTTTTACTGTACGTATACTAAAAAAAAAATATTTTTATTGTGGAGCATTGATGTTTTATAATGGCAGTGTGAATATTATTATTGTTAATTGTCGGATACAGTACTGATATTCATAGGAATATATTTTCTTTTCTGCTTTATTGATTTTTGTATCCAATATAATAAAAGTAAATATTTAAGTACTGTCCTGTATATTAAAAAAATACAGTGCTTAAGGTCAACATTGCGTATGTCCTGTTGTATACATGGGGCACAAAGATATGTATTGCTTTATTAAGAAGAATATTTATTTATTGAAAAATGTTCTTAGTGGACAAATTTTTATCTACTGTACAGTACTTGTGTTTTTTGCACATACAGTGGTAGAATTGTTCTATCATAGCCCCAGCTGAAGAGTTAGAGTGATGGTTTGTCTCTGAGTTGCAGCTAAGAATTGAGGTCAAACCTTTTTTGCAAGAAACCTGTAGCTTACAGTTAAGGGCAGCTTATTATTATACAATTACTGTTCATCGTTTGTGGAATTTCTTGGTTTGATTTTAATTTCCTCATTGATTTCAGTCTCATGTTTAGGTCTTGGCAATTTTGGGTTTTCAGCGTGTGAATTTATGAACACAGTCTCCAACACAAGCTCAGTAATAAAATCAAATTTCAGGATCAGTCCTCCATTTCTTACTTTTCTCTTGGGAGGATGAATACTTCACAGTACTGTACTGCTGATTCATGATAGACAACTATTATATACTGCTGCTATTGCTGTGTGTAATTGATATTGTAAAACATAATATATAGAAGTAATTGTAAGTTTCCTGTGTGTGCTATCCCAGTTACATAGAGACAATGGGTGAATTGTTAGTGGAAATCTATGAAGAACTGAACCAGCCCTTGCCAGAGTGTCTTCGTGTTGTAACTGGGGACATTGGATCAGTAGCAGACACTAGACCATCTTCTGTCAAGTCACATGTAAGTATGGCTTAGGTTTTATTTGTTTTGTCCTTCTTAATATAATTCGTTACAAAGTAATGGCATATTTTGACTTAGACAGATCTCTCAGTCCTTGTGTATATATTCCTATCCAAGATCTGTAGTAGGATTGATCTAATAGGTGTCCTTAGGACAGAGAACCTTCTTACAAACCGTTTGCTTCATTTATGCTTCAGTGAAAGGGAAGCTTTTTTGCTTTTACTTCCCCTTTAGGTTTGGTAATAATTTTTTGACAATTATTTTGTACACTGCTGGATTGAGTTCAGTATAACCAGACATGAAGGTCACCTGTAGCCAAATCTAATAACTGTTCCTGAAGAAAAAGATCCACTAAACATTAAAGAGAAAAAAGGTAAATTTCCATGTGTGTTGTCAAGACTCCCATAGCAACTGTCAAATGTGTAATGGGTGTTAGAGAAGCTAAAAGTGACTGGAGGGTATTAAAATGGACAGTTGTTACGAGGTATACTGGATTGTGCTCTTATGGTGTAAGAAGGGAGAGCATATTGATTTGGATCTGTCTATAGTAGTCCCTCGGTTAACAAGCACAATTCGTTCCAGAAGGTTACTCGTTAACCGAAAAATTCGTTAACCGAAACCATTGTTTCAATGGGTTTTTGGGTAATTGGTTCCAGCTCACCGAAAATTGCATAAAGTCAACAAAAAAGGTAATAAAGTACACTTACTATGAGGTGTTTATGTAGAAGGCTCCTGGATGATAATGCTGATGTGAATTTGAAGTGGGAGGTGGAGGAGGAGAAGGGAGAAGAGAGGGAAGTGGAGGAGAAGCATTTTATTGCTTCTTGGAAGGTGAGTCACCTTCCATGAAAATGTCAGGAACCCCTGGACTGACAGATTCTCCAGCAGGAACATCCTCTCTCCTTCTTGAAGTGGAAGGCTGAGGGCTAGCATCTCTTTCCCGCTACCTTTTAGTGAAGAAACTGTCAATTTATGTTTGTGGGGCATCTCTCCTCCTCATCATTAACTGATGTTTGAAGAAGGAGACAACTGTGTCCTCAACTTTACACAAAGCAAGTTATGCTTTTTCCACATTAGGGTACCTTGAAGCCAGTTTCCTGAACTTCTCCCAGTAGTGAACAACATCTTTCAAATCTGAAGTAGACATATGGTCATCACTTTCCTTCTCCTCCTCACCACTGTCAGCCTCTACCTGTAACATCTCCTCCAGTTGCTGCAAGTCTTCAGGAGTAAGTTCCTCCTCATGAGACATCACAAGCTCTTTACATCATCCTCCTCCACTTGAAGGCCCGATGACTGACCAATGGACACAATCTCCTGGTCCAACTCTGCTTCTTCCTCAAATCCCTCAAAATCATGGACTACTGATGGTCACAGTGCTTTCCATGCAGAATTTAGGGATCTAGTGGAGACTTCTTGCCATGAGGACACAATCAATTTTACAGCCTCCATGATGTTAAATTGTGTTTTCCAGAACTGTGCCAGTGTTAGTTCAGGATCAGTGGAAGTTGCCTGATGACACCTCCTGAACATTTTCTTCATGTGCAGCTTCTTAAAGTTGCTGATCACATTCTGGTCCATTGGCTGTATGATTGATGTAGTGTTGAGAGGCAAAACCAACACTTTGACAAAGTCAAATTGAGACTCCACAGTGCTGGCAAGTTGAGGGTCATGACCAGGGGCATTATCCATAAGGAGAAGAGCCTTTAAAGGAAGTTTATTGGTGGTTAGGTAGCTCTTCACAGAAGGGCAAAACACCTCAACTGCCCATTCATTAAAGAGCTGTCTTGTCACTCATGCCTTACTGTTGGATTTCCAATAAACTCCAAGCTGTCCTCTTACCACTTTTTGTTGCTTGAACACCCTGGGGTTCTCGGAGTGGTAGACAAGCATGGACTTCAGTCGGAAATCCCCTGAAGCATTGGCACCAATTAATAGAGTGAGACGGTCTTTCATGGGTTTATGCCCAGGTAAAGAGGCTTCATCTCTGGTGATGAATGTCCTTTTGGGCATTTTTTTCCAGAACAGCCCAGTTTCATCCACATTGAACACTTGCTGTGGAAGATAATTTTCTTCATCCACCAGTTCTTTAAAGTCCACTAAAAATTTTGCTGCTCCTTCCTTATCAGCACTGGCAGCCTCACCATGTCTAACAACACCAAAAATTTCACTTCTTTTCTTAAATTTTTTGAACCAGCCCTTGCTGGCCCTAAACTCTTCAAACTCTGTGCCTGAAGAACCAGGTTGATCTGCCTTTAAATGTTCGTAAATCTCCCTGGCTCTTTCACAAATAAATTTGGTCGAAACTGAATCACCTTTCATTAGTTTTTCCCTAATCCAAATGAGAAGTAACCTCTCTGTTTCTGATATTAGGGATCTACCTTTAAACACTCTGGTAGATTTGTCTCTCACTTTCACTTCCTTGAATTTGTCTTTCTGTGAAAGAATTGTCAACACAGTTGATGTCGACATGCCATATTCTTTGCTAAGCACATTTGTTCTGATGCCTTCTTCATGTTTCTTAATAATTTCCTGTTTCACCTGGATTGAAATCGCTTTTCTTGGTTTCTTGGGACCCATGCTGGATTCAAAAACAATTTCAACACTAAAATTTTAAGTTTAATTGCTGTAAATAAAGAACATTTTTTTTAAATCAACACTGCACTGCACTATATATCATCAATATGTAAAATAAATTTCAAAATGACCAATAATTTCACTGTAAAAATGGAAAAAATAGTTTATGTTGGAGAGTCTGAAGCAAGATGTTATCTCCACTGAAAAGACACAGAGACTGACGCCTGTACGGTGTGTTGAGTGGCTGTTTGGCTCGCTAAAAACTAGTTTCCCTGTACTTCAATTATGTTAAATAATTGTTAAAATGACTAAGAATTTTAATATAAGACTTAAAATTGTTGACTAGTACAAACTTCTTGATATTTACTAAAATAGTAAGGAATCTAAGCCCTAGAACCGATTACTGTATTGGCAGACTAATGCGACAGCTAGTGAGCAAGCGAAAATATGTTGAGGGGCGCTCGTAAGGAATTCGTTAATCGAGGGATTGCTCGTTAACCGAAGTGAAGAATCTTATGGATGGTAATTCGTTAACCGAAATTTCGTTAACCGAGGCGCTCATTAACCGAGGGATCACTGTATTCATTTACATGTAGTCTTACTTATTTTTTATATTTAGCAAGTGCTCATCTCTCTGTCATATTATTTTTGTGTAAGTGTCTTTATAAACAGGAAATTAAAATAACCATTTAATAAAAAAATAATGGTTTGCAAGGAAAATTTTTAATTTATAACTTCTGACATTAGACTATAATTTTTGTTGTAATTAGCTTATAATATGCAGGGAAGCTCTGTCTTGAGCTACGGGAGTGCACCTGGGTCAGTGGAGAACCCAGGCTCTATTAAGTCACGAGAAGGCCGCAGGATGTCTTCCCGTCATCCGTCCTTGAAGGAAGCCAGTAAACGCAGCATTGTAGTTCCAAAGGTCACAAGAGCTTTATCACGGACTGTCAGTGATCAATGTAGGCCACTACAGGCTGCTTCATCATCAAACAAAGGTGTGTAGTGTTCTCTGGAGACAGTACTCTGCATCATGTAATGTAACCAATCCATTTTACTTTACTGATTATTTTCTCTTGCTGTCAGAGAAGTATATGATAATTTTAACTTATAGCGGTATTCATTGCTAGTTAAGAAAATATATTTTAAGGTGTTTGGTAGTATCTACAGCACCTATATAGTCTGTTCACTCAAAGCTTGCGAGTGAGAAATAGGGTCAGTTTGTAGCAAGGCAGCTGATTGGGTGGCAGATTGACACCCAAAGAATAGGTGAAGAAAAGTGCTTCAAGTAATCAGTGTAGAATATACTGTAATAATTATAATACAGTAGCCTGGTTACTTAAAATTGCATTGTAACAATAAAATGCAACATTTTCTCCTGTACATAAAGTAACTGGTTAACTTTATACTGTACTGTAGTCGACTGGGAATACAGGTGGCCTACTCTGCAGCCCTACCACTGTTCAAGCAATAATTTTTTTTTTTTATCATCTGTCAAATAACTTTTTGGATGCAAGGTACACTCACTAAACAAGATATCAAAATTATCACTGTGACTCCTGTTGTCTCAGTAAGGATGTCAAAATCCTTAGTCCATCCTGTCATATTGTCCAACAAAAACTTTTGCTGATACTTTTTATAGTGTGTGTACCTCCAGTAGAAGGGATGACCAAACAAAACCAATGTTGGTAAGGCCTATCAGAGATACTACGGTGAGCCATGAAACTTGGAAATGCTTTCACCAGCAAATGGTGATGACTCTTATAAACCCTTAAGCTCTGTCTAGTTTTAGTATCTAAAAGTAATTGCGATTGTCAGTATAGAGTCAGTACAGTATACAGTACATGAAAGTAGGCTTTTGAATGATTATTTATCTATCTATATTTTCCTTTATACAGTGATATCCTCGTTAGCCGGAACATTTGGTGCAGGGCACCTCCGTGGATGACAGATTTCTGGGTAACAAGACGACATTCTCAAACCCCCAAAAATTCCTTATCCCCAGAACCTTTTTCGGTTACTGTGAAAAGTTTCCGAGTATCTAAACTAGACGTCTTACACAGACGGACACTAGCTCGCTTCCCCAGAATGTTTCTGGGTGCTGGAGATGTTTTCCTTGAGTCTAAACTGCTGGAATCCATAAATACAGTTCTAATTAAGTTAGAAACTTCATTTCTTTACTATAATAATCCAGAATAGTTGATCTAAAAGTTTGGTTAAATAACTATATTTAAAAATTAAAAATCTATATGATATGGGCATGAATGAAGCTGTGTGTTACAGCAAAGACTGTTATTTTCCACTCCCATGGAGCTGTGGGGGATTAGTGGGTCTCGTGTAACTGACCTGACCTGATGCAATGTCAGGTGGAGGAAGGATGGGGGATTAGTGGTCTCATATTACTGACCTGATGGAATGTCGGGTTACCCTTTCTTGGGTTGGGGATTAGTGAGTCTCATGACATGATGATGTCTTGAATAAACACAAAATCTAAAGTATTTTTAGGGAGATTGTGATAAGTATAAGTATAAATGAGCAAAGTTGTATCCCTTCAACATTACATTACATAACATTTTAAAATATGGAGTGAGAAAGCAGAAAGATGTGAGTAATTAGAGAGATGGAGTGGAAATGAGTGTTGCCAAGTGCTCCTCAACAGCTGATATTTAACTCACTACCATGCAGTCACACACACACAGATGTGTTATACAATAAGACCTTCACTCCTTATGCTTGCTGTCTTAATTCCCTTGTTGGGGGTGTGTGAGTGGTGTTGGAATGTGTGTGTGAGTGGTGTTGGAATGTGTGTGTGTGAGTGGTGTTGGAATGTGTGTGTGGGTGGTTGTTGGGGGTGTGTGAGTGGTGTTGGAATGTGTGTGTGTGAGTGGTGTTGGAGGGTGTGTGTGGGTGGTTGTTGGGAGTGTGTGAGTGGTGTTGGAATGTGTGTGTGAGTGGTGTTGGAATGTGTGTGTGTGGTGTTGGAGGGTGTGTGGGGTGGTTGTTGGGGGTGTGTGAGTGGTGTTGGAATGTGTGTGAGTGTGTGGTGGTTGTTGGAGGTGTGTGGGTGGTTGTTGGAGGGTGTGTGTGGGTGGTTGTTGGGGGTGTGTGAGTGGTGTTGGAATGTGTGTGTGTGTGGGGTGGTTGTTGGAGGGTGTGTGTGTGGTGGTTGTTGGGGGTGTGTGGTGGTGTTGGAATGTGTGTGTGAGTGGTGTTGGAATGTTTGTGTGTGTGGGTGGTTGTTGGAGGGTGTGTGTGGGTGGTTGTTGGAGGGTGTGTGTGGGTGGTTGTTGGAGGGTGTGTGTGGGTGGTTGTTGGAGGGTGTGTTTGTGTGTGATGTAGGGGTGTATGTGTGATGTGTGGGTGGTGTTGGTGTGTGTTGATGCAGGCGAATCTTTTTGGGGGGTAGGGTCGCGTGGTCAGTCCCTCCCCTTCCTCACTCAAGCGTGGCTAATTGTGATAGGGAGATGAATTTGACACCATAATGATCCTTAATAAATTCTCTACGAAACGTTACCTATAAGATATCCTTAAACGGAATATTTCTATATGATATAGTGATGGGAATTCCATTCTTTTATAAAAATAAACGTAAGACATGTTGATACCGGAGTAAGTAAAATCAGTTCTAATTTCGTTGTACACCATTTTTTTATCAAAATAATCCTGAATACTCTATCTAAAAGTTTGGTAAATAAATATATTTTAAAAAACAAAAGCTCTATATGATATGGGCGTGAATAGAGCTGTGTTACTTTTATCCTCTTCGCCGCTGATCGGCTCGTTAGCTGCTTGGGCGATCGGTCGCGTCTCTGTTATGCACTGTTGGCAAGTGTTCTTGTGTGCTGTATATATTGTACTCCAGCAGATCCTGTCATCTTTAGCCTAGAATAGGCAGTCACTTCACTCAATTGACTGTAATACATAACTAATCATGTCTTAACACTTGTGATGAAGGTTGGGTGGGAGATTATTGGGTCACGATACTAACCTGACCTAATGCAATGTCAGGTCACCCATTGTTGGGAGGGGGATTAGTGGGTCTTATGACCTGAAGATGTCTTGAATGACATTTTTTACCTGTGAGGTATATACATAGTACTATACTCTATTGCATATGAAGGGTACAGGTATTAATAAGTCCAGATTACTACAATACCTGTAATGCATCTTCACTCATTAATGAAAAACAGATAAACAATATTGTATCATGAATGAGTCAGTACAGTAGACACAGTGAGGCGACCCTTTGGGGGAGGGCGGGTTGTGGTGACCTTTACCCCCCAATGGACCCTTCTCCCTCCTGCTTAGTTCACAACAAAAGTTATTATCTTTACTGTATTTGTCTTAAAGAGATGAATTTGATACCATAATGATTCTCTATGAGACGTTTCCAATATCATTTCCTTAAATGACAAGCTGAATTAGAGGGTAAAAATAAGTATTTTTCTGTATGTGAAGGGTACTGGGAGAAGAATTTATTTGAAATACTCCGTAACATTCGATACCATAATATCCTGACCAGTTTTCCCTGTGATAATGCCATAATTTTGGGTCTTGTTGTGTGACTGTGTGAAGGTGAATTAAAAGATCAGCTGTTGAGGAGCTTATCGCTTGGCAACATTGGTGCATGTTATCACTCCTTTCCACTCCATCTCTCTAATCACCCACACCTTTCTGCTTTCTCACTCCATATTTTAAAATGTTATGTAACAATGTAGAAGGGATACAACTTTGCTCATTAATACTTTTCATAATCTCCCTGAAAATACTTTAGGTTTCGTATTTATTCAAGACATCTTCAGGTCATGAGACCCACTAATTCCCCACCCAAGAAAGGATGACTTGACATCCCATCAGAAGGTCCGTAATATGAGACCACTAATACCCCACCCTTACTCCACCCCAAAAAATACTTTAACTTTCATCTTTATTCAAAAAATTTTCAGAAAATTCTCTCGATTTTCAACATCGGAAATTTTTGGTAAATTCCAGCTATCGGAGATTTCCGGGTTTGAGGGATTCCGGCTAACGGAGATATTACTGTACAGTAAACCCTCAAAGATCCGGATTTTGGAAGATTCAGGCAAAAAAAAAAAGTAGGGGTTCTGGGCTAAGAAGTATTCCCAAAACAGGGTGAAGGTAGTTTTAGGCTTAAAGTTTTTATCTTATAAAATGTCAAAGACTAAAATTAGCGGAATATAACTTGCATTGCTGGCATCCTTGCAAGACAGCGAATAATTTGAATACAGACATCATATATTTTACGAAAAAAAAAAAAATAAATAAATAAAAATTGTGACCGCTAGTGTAGTACATTTGAGTGCAAATGAGTACAGTAATATGTAGCTCAAAATTATGGCTTTTTCACAGGAAAAGTCTGTATAACCAACCCCAGTAGTCAGGATAATATGTAATGTATTTTTGGTGTTTTTTATAAAAAAAATTATCGTTTTTATACATTTAGTACATTTGACAGGAAGATTTGGACAATCGGCTTTTCCGGACAGGTGGTCCCCTCTTGTAGTTCGGATCTTCGAGAATTCATTGTATTAATTTTTGTCTTAAGAATTGTGTTTTAAGGTGAAATTTTCGTTTTATTTGCTATTTCATCTTAGTTTTATGTGGTGTTCCAGAAGTTGCTGATAATAATATACGAAAAGTACGACGTTCCCTTTTTGACTTGAGTGATGGGGCTACAACAAAGCCAAAGTTACAACGGTGCCAGACTTTTGGAGGTGGGTCAGTGTCAGAGCTGAGGCGTAGTCCTCGAAAAAAGCATAAGAAATCACTGACTGTTACCCCAAAGAAGAACAGAACGACAATGGGTCCTTCCAAAAATTCCTTTAAAACGCCTTCAAAGGGGTCATTGACACGTGATAAAGGATATACAACTCCAAAGTCAAACAAGGGTAAGATATTAATTGTGCATATTTTAATGTTTTTCGAATGTAAATTCTTTCGCTTCAAGCATCTCAAAGGTGCCAGTAATTATGCCAAGTGTGTCACAGGTGTTATAATAATGACAGGTACTCATAATGATATCAACTAGTTCCACTTTTGGCATTTCAGGAACCACACACAACTTTTAAAGGTTTAGAAAGAAGCTTATAAATTTTGGTAGTCATTGGGTAAAATATCAAAGGTCTTATAAATCAAGGTCATGAATTAAGGAAGAAATATTTCTGACAATAATTCTAATTTAAATTTTGTTCTAGGAAGATCCAAAAGAAAGTAGCCATTGTTTAAAATCTTGATATACTCTATGATGTTTCATTACTTTGCAATCATCTTGTTTGTCACTCCCAAGCAGGATGCGTTTCATAACTTAAAGCCCGACTTCAAAGTTGTGGTGTAACCTGTAATAATAACCTTGTCCATACCTGCAATGTCTTGGATCTAGTATCATCACTACCAGCCCACAATTTCTTCAGATTTTAAATGTTTAGTTTTAGAACCTAGAGATGGGCTTTCTTAAGAGGGAGTAATAAATTTGGGGGTGAAAAATTGACTGGGGCAAAAGTATCATCTATGAATGTAGCTTTTTTTTTTTTTTTTTTTTTTACTTAGCTCTCCATTTAATAGGACAATATTTTATATAATTTAGCGTGTTTTATCTTTAGCATATGAAGATGAGAGAGAGAGAGAGATGTGTGGGTGGTGTAACACATTGTGGGTGAGAGGGAGGGGTGTGCAGTCAGTTTTCTCCCCCCCTTCCTCACTCAAGCGTGGCTAAATGTGATATGGAGATGAATTTGTAATGGAGGTGTTCATTGTTGCTGTGTACCTTATCAGTGTACAGTACATCCGTCTCTTATCAATATTTAATTTTGTGTTCCCAATGTTTAGGTGGTGTTCTTGTTCCTGAAACTCCTGGGGAGAAAATTGGCCAGACCATATTTAACAAACACCGAATTCTCAAGAGCACCGGTACAACACTTGTTGTTGAAAGTCCTGATGTCAAAAGTATGTTTTATATTCTTGGAACTTTTTATGCAGTACAGTACTTGAATATGTAATATGCCAATAAGAATTATTTTTCCCTGCAAATTACATATCTTAGATATGCAGTGTTCTGCAGATAATGGGATTTTTTATTTATTTTTTTATTTGTAAAAGAATAGGTGGCAATAGTCGATATAAAGCAGAGCATAGACTTGTTGAAGCTTAATATAAAGGAGTACAGTATATGAGTAAGGCATATGTAGAGTGATTATGTGTGTGTACAGTATACGAGGTCTGACAATTTAGTTCGCGAACTCATGCGACAGACGCCGGTATGTACAATGAAAGACAAAAGTCGTGTCGTGAAATTTGGTGAAAACATATGTATAAGGGCTAAAACTCTTGGTGCGCTCTGCCTTGTGGTAGGGCTCTCATAATGTTTCACGAGTTATATTTAATCTTCGGACAAAACCACGACACGACTTTTATCTTTGATTGTACCTTACTGAAAATCGGCGCTGTGGTCCCCTTCAAAGTATTCCCCTTGCGGTGCTATACACAAACACCAGCGTTTCTTTTATCCCTGAAAACATTTCTGCAACTCACTTTCTGGAATAGCTTTTATAGCTGCCATCGTGCTACTGTGAATGTCATCCACATCTTGATGGTGTTTCTTCAGCAAAGGAAATAGAAAAGGTCACGAGGGGCCAAGTGAGGTGAATAACGAGGGTGTTCCAGTAAGGTAATTTGTTTCTCGACCAAAAACTCCCACAAAATCAGTGCCGTGTGTGCTGGGGCATTGTCATGATGCAAGATCCACTTGTTTCCAGCGAAAAGTTCTGGACATTTTTGTCTAACTTTTTCTCTGAGTCTTTTAAACACATTGAGATAGTAAAACTGGTTCACTCCTTAACCTGGGGAACAAATTCATTGTGAACTACTGTATACCCTTAGAATTGAAAAAAGTGATGAGCATTGTCTTCACTTTCGACTTTGACATGCGACACTTTTTGGGGCTCAGTGAGTTTGCAGCTTTCCACTGTGCGCTCTCGTGTTTCGTTTCAGGGTCGTATTGGTAGACCCATGACTCATCACCAGTAAGGACTCGGTGCAGCAGGTCATCTCCAGCTTCTTCTCTTTCCAAAAGTTGTGAACAAATATCTATTCTTTGTTTTTGTTTGTCACTGATATTTTTCGGCACTATTTTTGCACAAACTTTTCTCATCTTCAAATCTTCAGTTAAAACCTCAGTCCTGCTCGTTGTTGGTCGTCCTTCTCTCTCATTGCCTGTCACGTCTTCTCTTCCCTCAGAAAATCACTTAATCCACTTGTAAACTGATGTTTTATTTAGTGCTTTATCCCCCAAAACTTAGGTTAACATGTCCCAAATTTCAGGCCCAGTTTTCCCCAGTTTCACAAGAAACTTGATGTTTGTTCTTTGTTCTAAAACAAAATCTGTCATTATAGCAACAAGACCAGAAAACGCTCTAATACAATAGATGCCACTGCACACATCCGATTCGCTTGGAATCGACGACACAACTGGAATAATAAGAGAACGGATCAAAGTCACACACACACCACTCACACGCGTTACAGTGCTGCCGCCTGTTGAGCCACACGCCAAGTTCACAAACTTAATTGTCAGACCTCGTATATATAACATGATTTGAAGACTTCCTAATTATAGAATTAATTTAACAGGAGTGAGTAAATATACACCTCGCAGGCTACGAGCAAGCCTGACTGTCACCCGCAGAAATTCCTTCTACTCAGGAGCACGCTCTCGTAACTGGGAACGAGCCAAGACTCAGCTTTTAGCAGACCGCTTTCGTGGACATTCTGATAGGCGCAGTTTAGATTTAACTACTATCCAAAATGTAGGTAATGCCAACTTTCTCTTCTCTGAGATTGTACCAGCTAGTCAGTCCAGTCCACCCAAGAAGGGCATCTCTAAAAGTGTTGAGGAGAAAAGTTGCTTAACTCCAAAAAGGAAGGTGCTAGACTTTGGACTTGATGACTGTACCAAGACTACATTTGAGGAAAGGTTAGAAACAATGGAAACCTGCCATAAAGAAGTTGGTGATATTTCAAATTTGTCATTACCAGTGTTCACCAATTCCCCTGCAAAGAGCACACGTGCAAATTTAACAAGAGGTCATTTATCTTTATCTCCTGGACTAGATTTAAGAAAAACTCCAATAAAAAAGGTGAGGAGAGCCTTGTCACTGTGTACACCATCTAAAATTACTCGAAAAATAGATCAGTCACCCGGAAAAATGTCAAGTTGTAGCTCATCAAAAGATAGTGGTGTAAACTCTTTCAAAGGGTTTTTCACTCCCAGTAAAGACAAACTAAGTCAAGGACAAAATAACTCCAATGCTGTTTCACTGTGCCAAAGTCCAAACACTCCAAAACAAAATAATCAAAGTGTTCATAATTCTGATACTGGTTTGTCAACAATGACCCCAAGTAAAAGAGTCCAGTTCAGTTTGGCTCTAACCCCAAGTAAAAACATTAATCTTGCCAACACTTCTCAAACTCCAAATAATAAGGATGGATCTTTCATCTCCAATCCCCAAACTCCTAAGAGCATTCTTAAAACTCCAATGAAAACACCAAGCAAAACACCCCAGAAAAGTTCCTTCCATAGCTCTGAAATTTTTGTTCCAGTAGCAAAGGATGGGATAAACAACTATATCAAGACACCCACGAAGAGTGAGAAAGGTTTAAATACTCCTTCCAGAAAAATTAAATATTTGTCAAAATTAAATGTTGGGGAAGATCCAGACCTTCTTCCAGAGACTCCTCACACGACTCTGAAAAACAGATTTTCTCCTGTGAAATTAGATGGTATTGTTTCTTTTACAGAAAATGAAATTGAACTTGTATCCCCATCAAAGGGAGACAAAGCATCTTCAAAACCTTCAGTAGTTCTTTTTAATACACCTTTTAGAGTTCACCCAGTCAAGGAACTCTCAGAGGAGAGCACTCAAAAGATGGAGATTGGCTCTACTGCAGCTAATGAAAACACACCAAACCTTATAGATGCAGACCTATCAATGGTTCCTGGCATGGGTCCAGAAGATGTTGAAATGATGAGCTCACTTATATTTGGGGAAGATATTTACCCAGATTCTGAAATAGGAGCATTTGAAGTAAGTGAAGATGATGAGATTATGAAATTTAATCTTAATTGCATCCTCAGTACTCTTTCAAGCCCCCAGAAGAAAATAGACCAGTCTCCTCTGAAAATTGGCTGTGACCAAAATGAAGACTCGCGCAGTTCTCTGCCAGAAAAACAGATGCCTTTATTAGACTTGAATTCCATTTTTACTGATCATACTACACCCAAAAAGGATCCTAAATTTGAAAAAGAATATTCAGTCAGCCCTGAAATTTCAATGGACCCTAAAGTGAGAGCTCAAATTGAGAGGAGGAACAAAGAAGATTCCATGTATAGTGGTGTTGATGTCACAGCAACACAGGTAATAATGAAGTCACCACAGGTTAATACTGATGACAGGAAAACAGAAAGTTCACATGATTTCCTTATCAACAATGTCTGTGCCATGAGAAACAGTGAAGCACTGAACCAAAACACTGACAGGATATTAAACAAAGGTAAAAAAAAATTAATATTAAACACAGCAGAGGGACTAATGTCTGCCAGTGAAAGTAACATGTCAACATATCAAGCAAAAAAGGCAAAGCATGTCGGAGAACCAGAAAATAAATTAAAGGACATGTGCTTAAAAGAAATGAAGAAAGATACTTCTACAAGTGAAGCAGAAAAGAAAACCTGTAGGAAGACCAAACTGAGTGTATCGAAGGAAACAAAACAGAAAATATGTATAGAAGAGGCAGAGGAGGAAATAATTTTGAATAAAAGCCAAGAAAAAGTACTAGTTACAGAAAATACAACTACTATTGAGAAGTCAAAGAAAATCTCTGTAAAAGAAGCAGTAGAGAAAGTGCCCACTCGAGTAGCAGAAAATGTATTGTCTAGAAATGAATCAAAGATGGAAGTATCTGCACAAGAAGGTGAGAAAATATTGTCTGGTTGTGGTACTACAGGTAAAATGTCTAAAAAAAAATTAGTAAATAAAGATGTAAATGAAGAAATTCAAGCTGATGTCACCAACACAGTTAAAATACAATCTGAAGGTGTTTCTGCGGAACTTCATTCTACAAAAGCAGCAAAACGACATTATTCTGAGAGTAGTGATGAGTTAGAGGAAGACATAATTCAAGAGAACATGAGGAATAAAAGAGTAACTAGTAATAGAACTGACTTTAAAAAAAGGAGGTTTTCAGAAAGAATGAAGAAAAGCAAAGATGCAGAAAAGCAAAGAAACCAGAGAAGTTGTAGAAAACTTATAACTTCAATGTGTGAACTTAGTGATGATGATAATTCTGATGACGATGTGTATTTACAAAATTGTAAGCTAACACCACAATATAAAAAGAGAATTTTTGATGAGGATTCTGATTTTTTAACTCCAGTAAAATGTTTTACAGATACCCCATTTACAATGCCTTTGAAAAATGTTGAAAATTTACCCAGAATTCCATCAAATGAATCAGAAGCTTCATCCTGGCTTGAAGAATATGATAATACAAAACAAGAAAGTAATGATAAAAACAAAATGGATAATAGATTTCCAACAGGAAATTTGAGTTCTGATGAATGGTGTAAACAGCAAAAAATTGATGTGTACCTTTCTCCTGTTGGTAAACAAATTTCCGCTGTAGAGACGCCAAGCAGAGTTCATAGAGATACTATGACTCGAAGACGACCAGAAACTCCAAATGATTGGAAAATAACTAAACCTAGACGTGAGAAGAGAAAGATTTCCGAGGTGAAGGGAGATACGGAGGATGACTCTATCATTATTGTAAATGATATCAAGAATAATATAGGTGATAATGAGACTGTAGTTGATGAAAAGGGTCAAACAAAGAAAGCTAAAAAGAAGAAAAGAAAGGGAGTTAAGTTAAAGATTACAAAAAGTGGGGAACATTACCAAGTTTCAGAAACGAATATCTCAAACGAAGGATCGGATCAGAACTCGAGTGGTGATGTAAAATTGCATCTTAGTCAAAGTGATAGTGTTCGTTCAAATTGTAGCGACAACTTGGACTCCTCGCTTTCTAGCAATAACTTTGAAACTCCTGTTACAAAGAGGAAGAAAAAGAACCAAAAAGAAAGTGAATCCTTTATTACTCCCTACAGATTTACCCGCCACATGTCAAGGGATCTTAGTATAACTCCGGAATTTTTCCAAAAACTAATCACGTTGTCTCCAAAGAAAGAACCTGATGCAGTTCATAATTCTCAAAAACTAGCTGATGAATTCTTGGGTAAGAGGATTGAATTAGAAATGATGCAGGTAAGTAAAGTGGGAACAGACTCTTCCACTGCTCATTCAGAATTAGAAAATGACACAAGCACGGAAGACCAGCCGTGTGCTTCATATCCAGATTGCAAAAGAAACGAATCTTTAAACAACATTGCAGAGGGTGAGTGGTCTGTAAAGAGTGTACCTGGGTCACCTACCTTAAAAACTTTCATCCGTTTACAAAAAGAAAAACATTCCATTTTGTTGAGCCCACGCATAGAGTTGTCGCCCTTACGAGAGGGAAATATTGTACCTGTAAATGGTATTTCGAACTGCACGAGTTTGGACGACGACTCTGAAAAGAAGAAGCCTTCAGGAAGCAGCATTTCCCACAAACATTCATCACCACTTCATACAAGTAACAGAAAAAAATCAAAACTCACCGATCCAAGTCTCCTTAGTCTAGTTCATCTTTCAGTCTCCCCAATTCTCAATAATAATTTGCTGGAAGAAAGAAGCAATAGTAAAAGTACCTCCAAGTCTCAGGTTAAGCCAAAATCCAGTAGGAGATTATACAGAAACAGAAATGGTGGTCATGATGAGAGTCCTTAACCATTTTACTGTAGTCATGTTGTGGGCCAGGAAGGAAGGAAGGAAGGCGAAGTAAAACATGATCATGCTAAACCTCAGTGCAAAAGCCTCTTATCAGTACCTTTAAGTTAAGTAGATTTGTTTATTTATGGATTATTCTTTGTATTCACTCATTTATAAAGTTTATTTTTTCTTTTCCTTCTTGTGGAGTGGAGAATAAAATATATATTTTTCAACAGCTATCCTGACATGTTTTGTAATGTACTTTTGCCATATATGTGTATAGAGTAGATTTTTATTTGTTAATTTCCATTTCACATCACTCATGTGCCCCAAAATTGTAAAATATTGAAGGGCAGTGTTTCATCTTAGTAAAATTTTATGAATAATTATTTATTTAATTTGCTGTAATGTGTTGTGGTGTAAGTTTGTACTTATTGGAATAAAGAAGATAGTTTTATCCATATATGAATATATATATATATATATATATTTTTTTTATTGTTTTCAGCCCTTCAGTATAGGGAGTTTTGTGAGGTCAGTGGTTGTTTTGTAAACAGCCTTGATAAGCAATTTTACAAATGGTACATACAACTTCTTGTGTGTATCATGTATTTATCTGCAAGCAATTCTATTCATTTCTTCTGCTAAACTGTAAAATTTTTCTCACTCTATCATTAATGATCATTATTGATTTACAGCCATTTTCCAAACTTGCATAGATTAGCCGCAGCTATCTGATGGTATATCTCCATGCTGCATGGTCTCTTGTCAGGTTTCTGACTTATGTCATTACCTCTCCCCATTTATTCTTGGCCTACCATGATGGTTTCTCCCATAATGCACAAAATCAGTTTCGTTTCTGTGTTTTTTGTCCATATTATGTTTTTATACTATTTTAAAGTAATTTTGAATTTAAAACAAAAAATATCATGCTCTTACGGGGATACACTTTCTCGAGTAGTTAGCAGTTAAAGGGTTAAAACGGGGTCTGGAAATTCACAGTCCCCCTAGGACTGGGAGGTAAAAGTTGTGGCTGTCATAGAGTGCCAGAATGACCTGCTCACCACTTATTTGGGCATAGTTACAATAAGGGAAATGTGTCTAACCTCACTACCTGCCACTAACCTCTGTTGGTAAAGGTGTCTTTTTCTAATTGCCTTTTCATATGAAAGCCAAGTGCTCATTATTGCATGTGGGTTTTTGGGCTGGGCTACACAGTTCTAAGTTTTGCAACTAAAGTAATAGTATACCATTTTTACCTTTATTGCAAGTGTTTTAATGTGGTAAGAACCTAGCAAGGGGGTAGTTGCTGTAGTAGTAAGGAAGTTGACTGTCTCTTCAACACTTTGTGATCAATTTTTCACAATTTACAGTGCATAGCCCAGCACTGTTTATTGTGTGAAGCATATGTAGATGCAGTGTTTTCATTTTACTGGTTGAGGGTCCTTTATCTGAAATCCTTGAGGCCGATCATGTTACAGATTCCATAAGTTTTCTGTTTTGAGGGGCATTTTGACATATTGGGCTTGGGTCCCTCTGTGTAAGTGGTATCTCACCCATAGGGACCAAGCCAAAGTCTAATTATTAAATGCATTTTTTTCTTTTTAAGGCATTTTAACTGCATATTGAGACATACAGCCTACAAGTGAATGTCTAACTTAGTAAAAATTATATCATCCATACCAGGATATCAATGATATAAATCTGTGCAGCCAATTTACAGTGGTAGTTATAGCAGCACATCAGGTGTTTACAAACAAAGAATGACAGATATTAAATTAAACATTAATTATATCTACATAATGTTTCATTTCTTAGAGAAGTGTTAAATAAATTTAATATTGCAGGTTTCATTAAATGTTTTAAAGATATAAGAAATCAAAATCAAGAGAAGACATTTGATTAGCTGATGGAGATGCACTGGCAGTTTTTCTTGCTCTCACTATATGGCAGCACCAGCAGGTGCCATAATCTGCAAAGGCCAGCAGGCCCAACACTGCACTGTGACTCAAACATGAGTCACCTTGAATCTGAACAACTGTAATTCTGGAAGCAGGTGTTCATACTCAAGGAGAGTTAAAATTTCTTAAAAAGTGTTTTGAAATGATGGAATTGGTATTAAAGCGAGAAAGAGTGTTGTCTTAGATGTTTTTACTATATTTTATCCCTCACTTGTTCTTTATCTAACATACTGATGGTACAGAGGGTCCACGGGTTACGAACGAGTTCCGTTTTTGAGGACGTTCTTAAGTCGGAAATATAAATGAGTCGGAACACACCTTATGTGCAGTATATCATAGCCTAAGTCCTTTTATACATCTCAAATCACTTAATTTAAAAGAAAAGAAGAAATTGATTTACAAAATATAGTAAAGGAAAGTAAAAATTAAAGTTAAACACTTACACTAAAACCTTGGGCTGGCTGATCTTCCACCCATATCACTAACAGTATTTCCATTTCAGTTAACAATCCACTTCTTTGTTTTGTTAACACAGTTGAGTGCATTGGTGTAGATCCTTTTACATATTCAAGAATTTTGTGATTGTCTTTCAAAATTGTTCCGACCGTTGACTGACTGAAGCCCAACGCTTTACCAATGACTGTGGGTGTTTTGCCTTTTTCAGAGCATTTAAATACATCAACTTTCACTTCCATTGTAATTGTTTTCCTTTTCTTGGATGCACTACTATCACTTGCATCAGGTTTGCATTTGGGAGTCATGATGAAGGCAGAAAAATAGAGTTAATAAGCAAAAAACAAAAATGTTTGTACTTGATCACACACATTACTGAGGTGAGGGTAAGGCGTACTGACGCTCCCTCAAGGCATGTGGCTGGGTGACGCAGTACTCCCCACCCATCGCTTGGCCTCGCCGCTACTCTCCACGCAAACTAGTTCTTGTACGTTAATACTGTGAACCAGTTGTACCTATGTCGGATTCTTAAAACAATTGACCTTATGGGACCTCATTAATATCAGCGGGTGTTAGTACGTCGGACGTTCGTAACTCGGGGACCCCCTGTACTGTAGCTTATCCTCATCACATTTAGTGTAAGAACATTAAATATGGCATTGATGTTTCATTTCGTGTAAGAAGCATTAAATAGTTTTAATACTGTATATCTCCTGTAAGTTTTTAAAGGTTTACTAAATAAATATAAAATGAAGACAGTCAGTCAGCTGATGGAAACACACCGACAGTTTCCCCTGCTCTTAATAAAGTAGATGACAGCACGAGCAAGTGCATCGTCTGCCGACAGTTGTTTCAAAGTAGTACTGTATTCCCACATATGTATTGTTAAAGGATCAAATACAAAATACAGTATCCTAATAATCAGGCATTACTGTATTATTTAATTGTGCTCGATAAACTGTATAAGTTGTTATTAGATATGGTCATTATATAAGATCGTATGTAAACAGCAGTAAATGTCCAGATTAACGGACATGTTTGTGCTTAAAAATGTAAAATGTATATCTCCATTTATAAGCGTGCAGTATATTAATTCTGTTGACCCCAAAATTTCTATATGAACACAGTACCACTTTCTTTGCTATTAATAATGAATGGTGATATTTTCTTCTCATTGTACCCATAGGAGTATCTGCTGTTCTTTTGACATTTCAACAATAAAACAAAAGGCCAAAAGCATAAAATAAACATAAATATCAAAATAAAGTGAGAATGTCTGGCTGTAAACAGTTAAGACAAACAACTAAGTTTCTCAGACAAACCTAAACGGTTGGGTGCGTTCGGCTCGACTCAGGTCAGCTGGGTGACCAACATCACCTGTGCCTTGTAGAATTTTCTTTGGTTCTTGGTATAACCAACAATCAGGGCGGTTAAAGGAATATTCTGACTCATCACGTCAAACTCGAACATTATAATTCGGTCAAACCTGTTGAATACAATTCATTTTAGTATTTCAAATAAATCATACGTAGGCAATCATACATAAATGTTTAATCCAATATATAATTATATAACAATCATGGCTATGTAATTAGTCTAATCTTAACACTTACAATGAGTACTTAATTTGTCATATTTTTATGTCATCACAATGATAAACGATGCAATGGACACAGTCTACTTGTATACACAACAAGTACAAGTTAAACTTACGTGTTGAAAGTCTTCAGGAGAAACAGGTTAGGTGTTGGTGGTGTGATGGGGATAGCTACAGTGAGGAAGCGGTGCCCTGCCGGGCACCCACATGTCCAGGCAGGCTATTCAAACTTGCAGCGTCATGTTTATTATACGCAAACAAGATCCCTCTACACCACTCAACACCTCAACCTACTCTGGGTCTCTCATCTGCCTCCATCTCAACACTATATATATACTGTATACGGGCAGGCACACCCAATAAACTTGACATGACTTACAGCCTAACAAATGTTTGTTTATGCTGTAACACTTGGAATTTTTTGGTTTCAGGATAAGGGATTCTCAAGCTGTTGTGGGGTGTAGGGGACCTGCCTCATATTGTATTTCTAAATGGATTCATAGCTTGGTATGGATGGTGTGGCAAGATACGTATCACTGTGGAAATAAATAAAGGAGCATCCTCATGATGCCTTCCTTGGTAAATGGTCAAGTCTGATTGTAATATCCTTTTTAGGGTGTTGCAGTTGGCCTGATTGATTCAGCCGTCTCTGACAATGTTTTAGTCAATTTTGATTTTAATGTCCCAAGACCCCTTCTTACAGTAAAACAATTACTTTCAGGAACTAGAGAATCATTGACCAGACCATGATTGATTAGGAAATTGATCATTCTGTTTTGTCCTCTGCTGAAATGGTTAAATTACATAATGATGTCTTCCAGTCCATTTCAGACCATTATTGTCCAGAGGTCACAGAGAGAATTACAGTATGGGATGACACTCCATGGTATGACTCATCTATAAGTTCTCTTCATAGGGATCATACAAGTGCTGAATGAGAGTGGTGTAGGTGGCGAACAGACCATACTAGATCAGAGTACATATGACTGCGTGTAGGACTGCCATTTGTTCAGTGAGGGAACGCTTAGTTGAATACAGAAGTCAAGTAGCCTCTTGTGGCAGGGATCAGAAAAATTTTATGCAGTTATGGATGGGCTGTTGGGCCAGAGGTCTGGAACTACTATACAGTAGTACCTTCTTTCACTTCAGATGCTCTGCTTGCCTCAGATTTTTGCTGTTTTTTATAACAAAGATATCGCATATAAGAAATGACCTTGATGGTGTTTCTGTAATGGAGGAATTTTCAGTCGAATTTCAACCAAGTTACACTCTTTCATTGTTTTGTACTGTAGGGGTGAACAGCATTTCTCCGCTATACCAAGGACTCGAAGAAGACTTTTTGTTGTCTTCATAGGAGTAATATAAAGACCTCCTCCTAGATGATCTCCCACCAATCACATTTCAGGATGCAATCATTCTGCCAAATTCTAAAATAGATATGCTAGGCTTCACCATTTCCTCTAATATGTCATGGAAGCCACACATCCTGAACATTGCTAAAGCTGCCTCCCGAAAGCTGGGAATGCCGTACAGATGCCGTAGCTACTTCACTCCTGAGCAGTTGCTTCAAGTATATAAGGGATTCATTTGTCCTAACTTGGAGTACTGCTCTCATATCTGGGGTGGCTCTTTTTCTGTCCAACTGTTCGACAGGGTGGAATCAAAGGCATTTCATCTTATTAACTCTCCTCCTTTAGTTGCTAATCTTTCTTCCCTTTTTTCGCTGCAATGTAGCTTCACTCTCTCTCTTTTACAGCTACTGTACTTTAACGGGAAATGTTCGGTGGATTTGGCATCGTGTGTACTGCCGACAAGGCCGTGGGCTCGTAACACTCCTCTTGCCAACGGTGCCCACCGTTTCTCAGTGAATGTCGGTCACACCAGAATAACCCATTATAGTACATCCTTCTTTCCTCACACAGCCAAATTGTGGAATGCTCTGCCTTCTTCTGTGTTTCCATACTCTTACAATCTGTCTCACTTCAAAAAGATGGTTTTCTGGCATTTTTGTGGTGTAGATTAATATAACCTTTTTCTTTTCTATTTTTAATTTCTTTTTACAGTAGAACTTTGATATAACACGAGATAGGTTCCAAGAGAGGTCGATTTAAATCAAATTAGTACTAAATCGAAGTGTTTCAATTGAATAATTTAGTTTGGTACTTGAGAGAAACACAAAATACTAAAAAGACTGAGAGTCTACCCAGATGCTCCTCAGCCCATCTCCTAGAATAAAGAAAACATTGTTTTTTGTAGTATTATGTTAAAACAAACACTCATGAAACACAGCTAAAATTAAGGGATGCAATATGGTCTGTTTACTGGCTGGGAAGATGGGGGGAGGAGGTGAGTGATATGTTTGACAGTTGATGCCAAGGTCTAGTGCTTAATTATTTATCTGTCCTTAAGAGTGACTAAGTTTTTCTCTTATAAAATGTCACTGAACTGACATGGGAGAATATAATTAACATTGCTGGAATTCTTAGAAGATTGTGATTAATTTGAATATAAACATGCTATAATTTGCACTAGACAAAAATTTTAGTAATCATTTAGTACATTATTTTGAGTACATGTACAGTACAGCTTTGCCCTTAGGACAGTGTAACAGTGTAGCGCCCAGAGAAACATTAGGCGCAAATTTTTAATTATGATGCGCCAAATTGACTCATGCAAAATAGGAAAGACTCGCTTTAAATTAAAACATTGTCCTCAATTGTGGGTGTCGCTTTAAATCAATGATCTTAAATTGAATCACTTTAAATCGACGTTCTACTGTATTCTTATTTTTTACCCCCTAGGCCCCATTGTGGGTCGATGACCTGTGCCTGGGTGGGCGATTCCCCTTTAAAAAAAAAAAGAAAAAAGATGATGAAATGCACAGGGCATCCAGACATAACCAAGTCTGTATAGTAGGCGACTTTAACTTTAGTCAAGTAGACTGGACCAACCCTACAGGTAACTCAGAATCAGGATTTTCTTGAAACAGTTAAGAACTGTTTCCTAAGTCAACATATAGTCGAACCCACCCAGGGTAATAACATACTAAATTTAGTTCTGTCAAACAGAGAAAACTTCATTAGTACTGTTTCGGTAGGGAACGAACTTGCTAACAATGATCACAAA